ATTTACCAATATGACTTCGAGAATCGAAAGGGTTCTTTCTTCCATTTCCTTCTGTTCTCACGCTGATATAGTAAAAGTCTTTATGAGTGTGGTTTTAAGATTCAATGTATTGCTCATCTAGAAGTATTTGACTTTTCATTTTGTATTAACCTCAAAATCTATTCCACAGTACTTTCACATTCAGTTATGTCATGTTTGGATGAAAATTTCATCTAACTTTGGACTCGATTGTTAAATATGCACTACAAGAACACTACCAATGAACTACTCAAGCACTACAAAACACTACAAATGCACTCTAACTTTTGTACTGCATTCCTAACAATTTTAGCCTAAGTTACATGGAGCTCTAAAGTCCCTCATTTAAACACACTATCATAGTTTTCAACTAGGACATGATTGTGCCATTTATTGGTGACACTGTTGGCCATCAGCTTAGACATAAATATAGTTGATAAGTCATTATTTACTTAGAAATATATACTATCCTGTTTTACGTCCATATCAATTATCCGTCCAGCTTGCCAATGATTGATGCAATGTCTTGTTGTCAATAAAATGACCCATTGCCTCTGAATCTATAATTTGAAAATGTGTTCCAGTATATGATGTTTGTAATGGTGATGATATTGTGTACAATAATAGCGTGAAAGTCTTGTGTGGCTGTTGTGATGGCTGTATTTTGGTTGGTGTGGATAACCAAATAAAAGATTTTTTTATTTTTTTTAAATATGGTGGGGTGGGTATGGAGCTTTTGTTGGATACAGTTTGATTTTGGACTTCTTTATATAGGCTTTGGTTTCTGTTGAGTTTCAAGAGGTACTATTCTTCTTGATGATGCAAATTGGCAGGATGTTGTCATTTAATATTATGTTTAGCTTAGCTTTGGTGATAGGTTTCCTGTTAATCTTATTGACAGTGCTTAAAGTTTCTCTATTGCTGGACAGTTTGTTGATTCTGCATGTGCATAGTCTTTTAGTTCTTTATAAGTATTGTTTCTTGTTAAAAAAGAAAATGAGATTGATTAGTTTTATTTTTTATCTTATGGGTCAGGAGCGAAAAAGGAACTTATTATGCACTAGATCTTGGCGGTACTAACTTTAGGGTCTTGCGGGTTAAGCTTGGAGGTACAAGGTCCTCTACCTTGGAACATGATGTACATCAACAAGATATTCCTCAAAATTTGATGACTGGGACAAGCGAGGTAACTGAATTTGTACATTCAGATATCTATAACTGCGTAGCACATACTTGAAAACTCTCAACGTTCTACCGTTAGTGTCATGAAGCTGATATATCTCAATTGCCTGCAGGTTCTATTTGATTTTATTGCTTCATCAGTAAAGGAGTTTGTTGAAAGAGAAACAGACGATTCTAAGCTTTCGCTGGACAGAAGAAGGGAGCTTGGATTTATGTTCTCTTTTCCAGTGAAACAAACCTCTGTTTCATCAGGCACTTTATTAAAATGGACAAAAGGGTTTGCGATTGAAGACATGGTTAGTTGCATGGTGTCCAGTATATTGTACTTCAACAAAACTCAACTATTATAGGGAACTTTGTGAAGGCAAGAGTATAGTTGCTTGAAAAAATATCTTATTGCTGATGCATAACAAATCTTACATGGATCACTATTTTAATCAGTTTGAGGTTCATTTTTTAGGTTGAGTTTTGATTTGTGCATGATCCAGAAAGCTGATTCCATGTGGTCCAAACCAAATACCAAAAAAGAAAAAAAAACCAAATAATCATCTTGATTTTGTTTAATTGTATCAACTAAGACATGTCGTAAAAAGGATTTGATGATTTTGGAATTTTCTTAATAAGTTGTTTTTTAGTAAATTATGTGTGCAGGAGCTTCCCCCCTTCTCACCTGATATATGCGTGCTTTAAAATGTTTTGTTAGATTGGAAAAGAGGTTGCAGGATGCTTGGAGAAAGCAATGACCAAGAAGGGTCTAAATATGAGTGTGGCAGCACTTGTAAGATTGCTGTTTCTCATCTTTAAATAATATTACTTATTGTAAATTCCTATTAGATTAAATTTGTGCTAACATGGGATTTGTTTAAGTGGAAAAAATGTTCTAGAAATTTTATCTTTGAAATAGAAAATATTGTTTTAAGGGGAAAATTCTTAATATTGTCTCTGCTACATATACTGTAGTCCCTAAATCACATGGGAGGCTAGTTGATCACTGTAATAAATTCACTATATGTTTGGTGGTATTATTGTTATGCCTATACGTCTTTTATCGAATTGAAAATTATGCCTGGACTCTTGAATTTCTTTTGTATAGACTACTCTTCTTAGGAAAAGCAATTCATTGAACGAAAACTATTAAGTGGTTTTTATAAAAGGAAAGGGTAACGGCTTCTGATGTGGAACCCTAAACTCAGTATTTTTGCATTGTAACTTGTGAACATAAAAATATCCTTGTATTTTATCAATTATGTAACTTTTGCGGGCATGTGCCCCTGTACAATTATTTGTATGATTCTGATTACTGCTTTGGATGTAAAATCTGTAAACATAGTTCTTCTTTTCCTTTAACCAGGTCAATGACTCTGTGGGAACATTATCACTTGGACATTATCACGACACAGACACTGTTGCTGCAGTAATAATTGGAACTGGCACTAATGCCTGTTATTTGGAAAGGACAGATGCTATAATTAAGTCTCAAGGACTACTTACAGCATCTGGAGGCATGGTATCTATTATCTTGTATCCCTTCTTATATACATGCATATGTTTATATAATTTATTCCTTTACCTTGATGAGATGGTGCTTTTTTCAACCATCTGTTCACATGAGATTGTTGTTTTGAAATAATATTTAATTGTTCTTTATTAGGTTGTCAATATGGAATGGGGAAATTTTTGGTCTTCTCATTTACCAAGAACTGTGTATGATACTGAATTAGATGCTGATAGCCCTAATCCAAATGATCAGGTAAGATTCATTTTATTACTCGTGTTATTATTGATTTTGCAGTTGTTGAATCAAATATGATGTTTTAGAATCTCATTTAGTCAAAGAACTTTTGAACAGGGTTTTGAAAAATTGATATCGGGAATGTACCTGGGCGATGTTGTTAGGAGAGTGATTGTCAGAATGTCACAGGAGTCGGAAATTTTTGAGCCTATATCTTCCAAGTTATATATGCCTTTCATTTTGAGGTATTCTCTCTCTGCGCCATTTGCTGATACAGTTTCGTTTTATTGGCTGAATTGCAAAATGCCATTAGAATAATTAGTTAATATTGATATGATCATTGTTCTAAAATCCCCGCCTAGGCGCTTGGCGGTTGGTCACCGCCACAATTAACCCCTAGGCGTTTAAAGAAAAATAAGCAAGGGCACCTAGACCTGCCTAGGCGCTTGCCTAGCCTGCCTAAACCCACCTAGATCGCCTAGGTCGCATCTCTCACTTGTACACAAAATAGATAACTTCTTCTAGGCAGCCGTCTAGCCTGTCTAAACCCACCTAGACCGCCTAGGTCGTGACTCTCACTTAGACAGAAAATAGATAACTTTCATTTTACATTTTATTTTTTTTCAATAAATTCTAAGAGACTTGTTGGATACTTGGATGAACACATTATACATGCTTGTTCCCCATATTTTCAATTTGTTCTAGTACTTTATAATTTATGTATTCCAATACAATTATATTTTTCTCTAGTGTAGGCATATTTTTATATGTTCATGTTATATACAACTTTTTTCTGAAAACATTAGAAAATTTTGACTGTGGCAAGTTTCGGTAATGTTATCATGCGTTGAAGGCTTAATGTGAAAATACTATGCAATATCAATTTATGTGATTTCTCCATCTTCACAAAAGCATTTAAAATTGAACCTTATATTATGCTCAGGACGATCAAGCTTCTAATATTGTTTGTAAACGTTAGAAGTATGAAGTGAAATGATGGGAAATTAGAGATGTATTGCAAGATAGTTTATCCCCTGTTATATGTAACAAACTCCCTATTGGTAATTGTTGTGGATCTCTTCTGCATGTTTCCCAAGCCCCGTTACGTATTGTAAGCATCTGTGGCATTAGGGCATTTCCTACGATTTGCTTCCAAGTAAAATGTTGGAAAATTCTATTATACAACCGGAGTCAATTGTCTTCTTTTAAAAATACTATTCTTCGGTGTATATTTTCCAGGACGCCGTTGATTGCTGCAATGCATGAGGATGACTCTCCAGACTTGGAAGAAGTAGGACGCATTTTAAGAGAAAACCTGGAGGTAGACGAGACACAATCTATTCATATTGATTCTTTCCATCAAGGATTTCTAGTTTCTAACAGAATATTGTTTGGTGATCTGGCCATTTCAGATTCCGGATGTCCCTCTGAAGGTCCGAAAGCTCATAGTCAAGGTGTGTGACGTTGTGACGCGCAGGGCTGCTCGATTGGCAGCTGCTGGTATTGTGGGGATCTTAAAGAAGATTGGCCGGGATGGGAGTGGTGGAATCACAGGCGGAAGAAGTAGAAGCGATCACAGAATGAGAAGAACGGTTGTGGCAATGGAGGGGGGTTTGTATACAGAATATACAATGTTTAGAGAGTACTTGCATGAAGCGTTGACGGAAATATTAGGCGAAGATATTGCGAAACATGTCGTACTCATCAAGGTCACGGAGGACGGATCGGCCACTGGAGCAGCTCTGCTAGCTGCTTCACATTCATCCTACCCAGTGGATAACGTACGGTTGCCATGATTATATATATAAAATTATATATATATATACGTATACCCCCTGCAATTGTAGATTTCATTTTCCATAGGTGATATCTGTTTGTGTAAAAGGAAAGTTTGTCCATATTTTCCTTATTAATTTTTTTTGTAAATGCGTATGCTTATGCTACCAATGGAAATGGAAATCAATGTAATTCTTTGAAATGGCAGGACAAATGGATGACCTACTTTCGGAAAATTCTAAGAATTCTAAACTGGGTTGTTAAAAAGCGCAACAAGAAAATTACCGAAAAATTACTCAAACACTAGAAAGCTAATACTAAAATGCTACAAATCCAACAAAGTATAAATAAAAAATGTCTGGACTTGTTGCACCTTGTATATGAAACCCTATTCTATACAAACGTAATGATGACACCGGCTGCAGAGAAACCGCTGAAGAATAAGATTCCGGTGAAGGAAGCATGGCGACAAAACCCGTCAAGCCCAACACCACCACCAAACCTGGTGCTCGAACGACCCCACTCCACCACCACCATCACCAACCTTCCAAGGCTCAAGCTCATCTTTAACCTTCTAGACAGTCGAATCCTGCTGCAAAGACATGTATGGTGAAGCAGCCTTCTACACAGCAGCGTACTGACTCCTCCGGATCCACCCCAACCCCCCTCCCTTCCAAGCTCCTCCCACTGACAACTCCTGAGCAATTTAGACAATATTCTCAGAGACCCTCAGCGCCGTTCGCCTTCTCGAACTCAAGAGAGGAAGCTGGAGAACCACTTCAATAGCTTGAACAATGATGATCCCAACATACAAGAACACTTTCAGTTGGAGATAACTGATGCTACCGATTATTTCCATTCCATGGGCGGCTCAATGGACCGCGCAACTTTGGTGTGTGAAAGCATTGCAAGGAAGATTTTCCCCTGAAATTGTACCTAGGCCTCGAGATCCAACAGTGGCTGATGGAGGAGATTGTGGACCCCTTCAAATGTGCTCATAGAACTGACATTGAGGCCAATTGAGCGAGAGCCCTGCTCCTGCTTAGCTGAGAAGTATTTGAAGGACTTGAAAGCCTCGGGTGGCAACTCCTCAAACTCCAAGATGATATATCCGCAGGTGCCCTGCTCACACAATATCACGCACTATGTGACAGATTATGACTTGCGTGAAGTGGCTGAGCTTCAGTGGCAGGCAGTGGTTGAGCACATGTATTTGAAGCAGGGGAAATTAAAAAACTACCTGGCTGTGTATGACAGGGCAATCTTGACTGACCAAGCCAATGATGTGGCTTTGGCTTTGGCTTTGACAGTGTCGGTGTTCGATCTGGGTGGGGCACCATGGAAAAGAAAGGCCTTCACTTTTGGTCGAAACCCTCGGCTGTTTACCATACAAGACCGTGATCTTAGGTCCAAGAGCGCCTTTGTGAGGAGAATGGACGAAATGGTTGATGTGAAGTGAAGACATTTGAAGCTTGAGCGATGATCAAAAGGGTGTTTGTGTCTCCTACGCCCCAAAGCCATCTCTGCCAAATAGTATCAAGATCTTGTTGTCTCCTACTGCCTTTACTGTTTTCCTTCCATTAAACCTCTTCAGCATTCAACTCGCTGCTGGGAAGCTGAATAACTGCTGGCGAGAAGACAATATATCCCAGCTTCTTTATGGGAAAACCGGCAGACATTGTCAAGCAAAGATTACCGATCAAAGGGGTCGGTGGAGATTTACAATCGAAACAACCTCTTCTCTTGGTGATGTATTGTTTTCCAGCAACTGGACAGTCTCCTAGAAAGATTGTTCAAGTTTAGTCCTGTGCTTCATGGACTACCAACGAAGCTGGTTAATTTGATGGAGAATGGTGATTTACAACAGCAAAACAAAAACTTGTTAAAATGATTAACTGGTTATTTTGAATGTTTTCAAAGAGGAGAAAGAACATGATTCGTAAAGGAAATAACAGATTGAGTTATGCAACATCAGGTTATATCATATGAAGCTACCACGGAGAGTTAAACTAAAACAATTAAGCAACTGAGATCAAAACGAAACACTTTGTACGAGGAAAATTGAACAAATTCCCAGGCTCTGTGGCCTTCTTTGAGCATAATAAATCTTCGTCCTAAATAAGTAAATGAAGAACTGCAACAGGCCTCCTAGGACGAATCTGTTATGTCCTTTTTATAATTCAGGATTACCTAGTGTACAAGTTTGGCCTTACGATTCTCACCTTTTGTATAACGAATACATGTCACTGCCAACCAACTGCCCTGACAGCCATTTGTACCAATCCTGATCTTGCTATGACTCGGGGCTTCTCACTTACAGATTTGCTGACTTGTTGATGACTCTCACATCTGCTTACTTTTTATCCTCGAGTTACTGCTGCTGTGGGCTACTGCATTTTTGCTGCAAGTTATTATTTTCCCTTATGTGGTGACTTGCAACAAGACAAAATTTAATTTTATATGCATTCATAGTTATACGAGATCCAGTATCTATCGACACCATAAGCATGTCTAATTGAAAAATAATAATTAAGGCCATGCAAAATGCATGATTTTTCCATGCCTTTTGTTTTTTTGAACAAAATGAAGTTTTACTCAAATAACTCCCCTGACCTACAAATCCCAATCACAAAAAATTACTTGAAACAAACATTCATTCAATAAAACAAAATAAATTGCCCGGAAAGTAGGTATAATTACTCAAAGAACTTGCTGGCTAGATTTCTAGATATGAGTTTATCCCAAGATAACCTAGTAATTTGTTTACCTTGACCAGTAATTTGTTTATCCAGTTTTAAATCTTAGTCAGGGATATGCTTAAGAAATGTTTTAATTTGACTTCAAATTTTCCCATCTAAAATAAAATGATATTAAGTGTTGGTAAATTATAAAACAACGGTAAAGATTTTGTCTCTTATACACCAATTAGGCAGTAAATTACTTGATAAAATAACAAAAGCAACCCACAATCAAAAGAGTGAGACACAGAGACAAATTTAAAACCACAAACCCATTCAAGGTCATTTCTTTGCCTCCATTTCCTTAGCAACCAAAGACAAAATAACAGAACACCAAACAAAGACAACGGAGCTGAATTTAATGAAACAATAGACTTGGTTTTACCTTTAACATACTTATGGTGCACAAGATACTGATGAAGCCTCAAAGAATTTGGAAGATATTTAAACTTTTTGGATATTGTTTTAATACTTTCTCGTGAACCAAGTGGTAACCTTCAAGCTATACCCTGCAAAACAAATCTACGGATCAGAATGTTTAGCTCCAAGTGTATATATATTATACATACATATATGTGCATGTGCATGTGTGTGCCCGCACGTGTGTACTAGCAGGCTCTAGTCCAAACTCAAGATTGTTCACAAGGAAATGTGCCAGATAAGATATGTATGAATGGGAAAAAGAAAAGTGTGTAGATGGGTATATCTACTTCAGAAACAGATAAAATTTACACCTCGAATGAATTAGCCATATGATGCATGGATTTGTGTTAGGGAACGCATCAATAAATGATAGGATATCTAACCAAATGAATCTGAGATTTTAGATACAAACTTGCCTTATGATCTTCACAAATGCTTGTAAACTTGGTGGAAGCACTGAAGCTACAATCAGCTTACGGAATATCCTTAGTGAGAATCAGTGCTGAAGCTACAGAGCACAACATCATATCCTTAGTTTCTAAGGCTTGTTGTGTGACAAAAACATCCAATTATTATTCTGGTACAGGTGATATTGGTGGAGGGAGGGGATTCAATCAGAATATCTCAGGTGCAGGGGGTCAACGCTTTAACCCACTTGAGCTACAAGCCCCTTGCGACATCCAATTCTTTTTTAAAAACAACATAGAGTATCAGTATCATGTCCCATTAAGTCCCTCAGTCAACATTCTATTTGTCTCAGGATGAAGCTGGCAACCCATTTTCTCCATGACTGTTAGCAGCTCTGATCCTCTATTTAAATGGCCCCTCTTAATCAAACCATCAAGGAGAAGTTTCCAAGCTACTTCATCATAGTTATACCCACAGCGAAGCATGCTACAAAAAACTTCCTTAGCCTTCTCGTCATTCTCTTCATCAAAAAGGCCACTTACAAGCAACTTGCACGACTCTAATGCTGGTAAATAACCATGCTCAATCATAGTATGCACTAGAATTGCTGCTTCTCCATACACATGCATCTCACAGCAACAATTAACAAGAGAATTATAAATATCTTCGTTGGGAGAAATACCCATATCTCTCATATGATCATATAACCTCTGGGCCACTTCCAAGTTTCTCTCTTTGCAAAGTCTTACTATAAGCTCGCCATAGGTGTTCATATTGGGAGCACAACCATGTCCAACCATCTTCTCAAATAGCTCCAAAGCAATTTCAAAATCCATGGTCTTCCATATATCAGTGATATTTCCAGAGACATTCAACATTATATCGAGACCCACTGCTTTGCTGTTTGTCATGACGAACTTCTTATTTGAGAGATATTTGATTAGAAAGGAATAGGTACGATGACAAGGCTCACAACCAGAATCAAACATGCGCTTAAGAACATCAAACGCACAATCAATTAATCCCATACGGACATATCCATCAATTAAAAATGTGTAAGTCAACGAATCTGCAGAAATTCCTTCTCCATTCATCTTACTCATCAGCTTCTCCGCTTCATTTATATTCCCTAACGCGCAATATGCCTGAATTAATGTGTTGTAAGTAATTAGAGTAGGCTTGTTACCGACAGAGACCATTTTATTGAGAAGCTGATGAGCACGATCAAAGTCACCTTCTTTCAGAACATGATTAATTAAAATATTATAATGAGGGACTGTAGGCTTCACACCTATACTTAACATCTTTTCCATGACTGAGGATGCTTCTATCATTTTTTTCTCTTTGAAAAGCCCATGTATCAAGGCATTGATAGCATATGAATTTGGCAAACAATCCTCAGCAAGCATACAATCAAATAGAGAAAGGGCATCATCGATTTTCCCAATCTTGCAGTAACCATCAATTAAAGCAGTAAACATCTCTGTACTTGACTTGATGCCATTCTTCTTGAGAGTATCAAACATGGTTTGAGCTTCCTGTAATCTCTTCCACTTACAGAGACCATCGATGAAAATACAGTAAGTAATCTGGTCAGGAGCCAAACCACTATGAGTCATCAAATTAAGCAACCTATGAGCACTATCGAAATGACCTCCTTTACACTGGCCATGGAGTAATGAGTTATATGTAACCAAGTTTGGTGAGAGCTTCCGTTCAAGCATGTTGTTAAGCAGTGCCATTGCCTGGTGCACATTATTCCTTTTACACAACCCGTCAATCAATACACTGAATGTGTGAACATCTGGGCAACAAACATTTGATTCCATCAAAGCCAAAATCTCAAGTGCAGCCTCAACTGTTCCCTCCTTGCAATACCCATTTATTAATGCATTGTATGTGACAACATTAGGACTCAATCCTTTCTCCAGCATCTGATTTAGCACCTTTCTAGCATAATCAAGCTTATTTTCCTTACACATGCTATCAATGAGCACACAATAAGTATATACATTGGGTTCACAACCCTTCTCTATCATCTCTTTAAATAGATTAATTGCTTCTAGTTTCCTTCTTGATCCACACAATGCATGAATAAGAACCGTATATGTTCTCACATTAGGAAAACAATTATCGCCCCCCTGCCCCATGTGAGAGAACAACTTGAGTGCCTCATCAATGCGATGAGCCTCACAAAACCCCCGAATTAAATAATTATACGAAACCACGTCTCTTGGACAGCCCTTATCCGGCATTACCTCAAAAATCTTAAAAGCATTATCCACATCCTTGTTCCTACAATGCCCCATTATCAATGAACTGTATGTAAAACTAGTGGGGTTAAAACCTGCCTGCACTATCTTACTGACATACAAATTGGCCCCGGCCACATTTCCCAATTTACAATAAGCAACCACCATGGTATTCAACGTAACAATATCCGGCGGAATCTTGTCGGCCAACATTTCCAAAAACACAGTTTTCACATCATCAATTAGTAAAAACTTGGACACAGATATTAGGAGCCAGTTGTAGGACCTGAGAGTGAGCTTGAACTCGACGAAACCAGAACCGCCGTCGTTCATCCGGCGCAACAGGTCGAGCACAAAGTGGGCATCCTCAGGCGAATCGCAGGCCTTGAGCATCGAAATCCGGATCTTCTCGGCGGCATCGAGCCAGCGATTGGGAAGCAGAATGTTGAGGAGCAATGAGGAATGAGAGTGGACGGTGTGCTTGTATCGGGGGATTTCGGCGATCCAGCGGAAGAAGGAGAGGGCAATTTGGGGGTGGAGGTTGCGGGCGAAGAGGGAAGAGACATGGGAAGGGGATATGGAGGGGATTAGGTTTCTGAGGGAAGGATGTTTCTGCCAATTCCGGTGAGAGAGGACGGCGAAGAGCTCGGAAGAGATATCGGGCGGCGGTGTTGCGGTGGCGAGGGAAGACAAGGGTTTGAGGAGGAGGAGGAGGGTTTGGCGCGTGGTGATCACCACCGTCAGTTCTCTTCTCATCATAATATTCGTGAGTTTTCCACTAGTGGCTTCAGCTGTTTGAAGTTTCCGCTATTTTAAGCTTTTGTACCAACATGCTCAGCGAATTTGGTCCTCAGTATCTTTGATTTCTATCTTACTTTATTCTTTAAAATTTATAAGAGTATTAGACGAGATGTCGAAAGATAAATGTAAAATGTTGTCAGATTTTTCCTTCTTCTAACGCATATGTATTTTTGTTATAAATGACATTAGTAGGACTCATTTTTAAAAAGAAATCAATTAAAATAATTTTGGCTTATTATATTAACACCCCACAAATTGTTAAATAAAATCCACATACTTAATACACCTCACATTTGCTTTTTCACTTAAAAATTATCTTAATGCACCCCACATACTTCTCCATAATACCGCACACCCTACATTCTCAATATACATCTTATATTTTCTACATATACCCCACATTTCTCAAATCTTATAACACTCATTTTTAATTTTCATGGACTCAATCTAAACATTTGAACGTTTTGTATGCCGAATGATTTCAAATCATCTAAGAGCCATTGATATTTAATACTATAGGAACAGATGCAACTCAATTTCATGCGTGTGGTTGTCTAACATTCAATTGAAATAGATTCCTATAGTTGCTACCCATTTTCTCAAGGGTGGCCGTAGAAAATGTTGTCTTTCTTAATCACTAAACTTTTCTCTTGGAGATGATAAGGTGGGTTTTCCCATACATATGTTGTCATTCATATATTGAAGAACTAGGTCTCCATCTTTTCTTTTTTTTTGTCGAAAAGAACTAGGTCTCTATCTTTCTAATACAAATAACATAAAAGAACCAACAAATTTGATGGGGATTGGCACCAATTGATTCCATTAGACCTTCAAAATTACCTTCTCTCAATACATGTGGAAGGTATATCGATTTCGTGTTCCATTAATCAAAAATAATTTTTCTCAATCAACATGTCTGTAGTTTCATTGGTTATGGTTTCGTTCAACAATGGAGGGTGAGAGGGGTTTTGATAGTTGAAAAAGAGAAATAATACGCTAAACGTGATTTTGGGGTGTATTTAAACCTAATAAGGTCAAAATTGTCATTACATAGTCGAGTAAATAAGTTATTTAATATTAAATTTTAATGTGAAGTGCTAATATAAAAAACCATAATTTTTCATGATTTATAATTGGTGCATTAATAGAACACATACAAATAATTAAAGAATTAATTAACATCACCTTTTTTATTTTGTCAAATTTGACAGCAAAAGACTCATATGTCAAACCATGTAAAATTGATATATCGGTTGGAGTTTCTTTCTACCTTCAAATTTGATTGCGTGACATTTCACTTAGAATTTGACATATCCACCGGAGATGGTCTAAGTTGTCATTTTGCTCCCTAAAATTTGATTTTAATTATATTTTGCATCCTAAAATTCAAAAGTCACCTCACCACTTTACTTCTTAGAACTCGATTTCGATCGCACTCTATCTCCTGAAGCTCAATTCATTTTACATCTTGAAACTAAGTATTCACTCCAAATAAGACATGACACACCATGACCTAAATCAGGGCATGTTGGCTGTCACATGAGGGTGACGTAGCCATGTGCATAGTGCGAAAGCAATAAAGATATAAAGAATTACGAATAAACAAAAAAAATAGATGAACTAGAGTACTAGATAAGATAAGGTGTAAGTGCAAGATTAAGTGTGAAATACACAATCAGAGCATAAATAGCCTAAGTGCAATCAAGCAGAACAAGTAATAATTATACAACACCTAAGGGTGATCCTACATTGTGATGTTCTGTCAGAACCCCTGTCGACATCCTCGTGATCCACCAAAGCATTTTTACCTAAAACCTGGAGGGGCACAAAACAGAAAGTGTGAGTGGGCAAAAACAAAGCTTTTCAAAATCATTTCATTTCTCAAAAGTTCTAACCCCTCGCCGTAAAACTTGTATAATTTTCCCAGAAAAATATAATATATGCTATATCAGAATTCATACTTAGGATGAAAATCCATAGAAATATATCATGCCAAAGTATCTCAATGAAATGCCATAAGTAACCCAGTTAAGATATATCAATGCCAGATATCATAACAGCCGGATCTACCTAACTTGACCTATACGGCTGAGTATATAGCTCATAAACAATCTCAATCATATCAAATCAAATCCTGCACACGAGTCGGAACCACCTAAAGTGATCTGTAAGACAAGACTAGTGTAAAATAAATATGCTCTAGTGTTACGATCACGTGAAGACTATGCGAATAATCGTTGGTCACCTACGAGTCGGAACCACCTAAAGTGGTCTGTACGACACGCTTGCACACCTAACTTGGATCCAAGGTGAGCATATGGTGCGGGAGGTGAACATCACATGAAGGACTGTGCCCTAACTTTTGGCGGGAGCACTAACACCGGGATGCAGGTTTATGAGCTCTCAATACATCAAATCATATCTCACATAACTGAAACAATCTCATATCTTTAATTTATGAACTTAACTGGTACTTACCTATGCGTTCGCACCACCAATCATAAGTATATGCAACTACTAATGCATAATAAAATAGACAGATACTTTGCATGGCATTTCAAAACGTAATTTCATTTAAACACATTTTCTAGGAAAAATACCAAGTATATAAGTATATAATGAAAACCAAAAGCCCACTCACTGATATGTTGAAGAATCGTAACCCCCGAGCCTCGATTGATGGCCCTCGTCCTTAGGATAGGTCTCACCTATATGCGAAATAACTGAATAAACATTATTTAAAGCACATACACAAAACTAGGAAATAACTTCTCATACATTGCTCAAATGGGATATTTGAATATACCACCATGACCTACTCAACCTCAGGAACATCCCCATACTTTTAGAAAAAAATTTCATGACCCACGCGCAGGCACATGCCTGGCACATGGGACGGAATAGTTAACATCGTTAGGGAATATTCCGTTAAAACTAGAATATACTGTTAATTATACCTAAAGGCGTTAGAATATTCCGTCAACTTTGACAGAATATTCTCATCCTTCTTCCTTGGTTCGTCGGGGTCCAGCCCCGATGCCGCTACAATCGCCGGAAACTGGAAAATCTTAGAACTTCAATATCTTCTTCATTTCTCAACCAAAATTCATGAAATTTGTACCAAAATGAAGCTTACAATGAGTAGAACAAAACTTTACCAACTTTAAGCCCTGAAATCCAAGGGATTTTGCCGAAGAAACCTCGATATTCCGGCCAAACTTGAAACTTGCCAAACTCAACTTTCCAACATCCAAAACATTTCGTTTTTCTTCTTTGAGTTTCACGAAGACGTCCTAAGGCTTCCTGGCAGCTCAAAATCTCCTAAAAACTTCACATTTACGATTGCATGAACAATGCTCAAATCGGAGATTATGGTTTTTTGGGAAAATAAAGGCTTCACGTCCAAATAATAGTATCAATGGGTTCCTGGGCTGGCAAGGAACTTAAAAATGGTCTCCATAGGTTCGATCTGAGGATGGAAGTGAAGGTTCAAGGTTTGTCTGTACAATTGTACGGGAATGGTAGAAAATGCGAGAGGGAGGAGAGAAAATCAACAGGATAGGGTGATTGTTTGTGTGTGTGGTCCAGATTGGTCCCCAACCAAAGACAAATAACTTTAAAAAATCTAATTGGGTCCAATCAGTTAGGAAATGAACTTAATTGGTCCAAAACCTTAGCTTAATTCACAAACACAACCCAACGCTCAAGGGCATTTTAAACTTTTCACACCACTGATAAAAATAATTCGAGACGGGCTGTGACAAGACAAATGTATCATAATTAAGACCCACTTCTGACTGATGTGACTCAAATCTAACTCACATATCCAATCATATAGCACCATGTAGATTGAAACAAAAAAAAAAAATTTCCAAACCTTATATAACATATTAAAAAGAACAGAAAAGTAAAAAAATAATAAAAACAATTCATGGACTTCATCTAACCAACCCATATGTCTCCCCTCTCTTTCTCTAATAGTTGTCCATACATTCATTCCTCCTCCCTCCATCGCCAACCACCTTATCATTAGTTCTATTGATTTCATTATTTCTTATGCACGTAATGGAGGTGGCTAGTGAAGGGAGAAGATAGTTCTTTTACTATTTATTTATTTCAGGGAGAAATTTGGTATATTATCAATTATAAACTTTGAATGGATGCACATATTCTAAGAAATAGAAACAAAAGCAATGTAAAATGAATTTTGAGTTTCAAGGAGTAAAGTGACGAGTTTTGAGTTTCATTGAGTAAAGTGGGATCAAAATCGAGTTATGGGAATAAAGTGGCGACTTTTGAGCTTCAGGCTCAAAATGGGATCAAAGTCGAGTTCTAGTGAGTAAGTGGCGAGTTTTGAGTTTTAAGAAACAAAGTGGGATCAAAATCGAGTTCTAATGAGTAAAATGATGACTTTTGAGTTTCAGGTGGCAAAGTGGGATCGAAATCGAGTTCTATAGAACGTAGCTAAAGTAAGCTAAGTTCTAAAATATGTTTGTTAAAATAATCATGTTTGAATAAAAATTAGAGATTTGCTAGCGAGACTCGCCCAAAAAATGATTATGTCAAGACTAGCTGCTAGCCACGTAGCTTTTTAACCCCTCATTGAATTTCAGCTAGTGTCCATGTCTTAAACAAAACAAAAAAGTACAAACTGTTCATTAATTTTACAATGAGAATTTTAGGAATTGAAACTTGTGACTTCAATTTCGAATCTGGTAGATGACAGGAAAAATAGCCTAACGAGAAAGTTTTTTAGAACCATTAATATTCTGAATAAGTTCCGCCGAATCAAATTTGAAAAAAAAAAACCTCTGCAAAGGTGATTGTAAACAGCCAATTCCATAGCCAGAAAGGCTCCCTTAGCCTCGGACTTCAAAGAGGAGGCTACAATACATATAATTCAAGAACCAGATATTAAAGTCCCCGTCTCATTTCTAGCCACATTCCCAGACCCATGGAAGATGAAGCTTTAGACCACGAAGCATCAGAGTTGACCTTCACAAAGTTTGGCGGTGGAGAGATCCACTAGGGTTGGTTTGCAGAAGGAGCCTGCAGCATGGTAAAGATTGAGGTGGCCTTGAGAAATTCCCTAATGGCATTAGTTGCGAGTTTCATGGTTTTGAAAGGTGAGGGGAGGACATTGTTGAAGCTTGCATAGCATCTAGCTTTCCAAATTTCCCAACAGAGAAATGAGACTGATGATAACACATTAGATATGGACATCTCCCCACCTTCCACCACCTTGGATAAAGCCAATAACTATATATCAAAGGTAGTAATAGCTTGGCGGTCCACGTGGTAATTTAAGTCAGAGGCAAACCAAACCGCAGAGGTCCAAGGGCAGAGAAAAAAGACATGCTTAGTAGTCTCTAACGAAAACTTACAAATGGTACAGAGAGGGTCAATCATAGCTCGGTGACGGTAGAGGCTCTCCATAGTGGGAAGACAATTATAGGCTATCATCTAGAAGAAAATTTTGATTTTTGGGATAATCTTCATACCCCATATTAGCTTCCAAAAGACCAGATCCAAAGAAACATAATGGCTAGCACTTGGAGCAGCCAATAAATGGTTGTTCAAAGAGATAGCATGGCAAAAAGCATAATCGGATTTAACTGAGTAGTTTCCATTAAGAGACCAAGGCCAAATAAGACGATCTAGATGTGAAAGATCCCCTATGAGGGTAGCTTCAATAATAGCAGATTCCAACTGCGATCAACAGTTGAAATGATATCCCTAGCCTTTTTAGCCACAAAATCTGGTACATGAATAAACAGGTGAAAAAGATCATCAGGAGTGGAAGTAAGCCATTTATCTTGCCAAATACAAACAATTTTTCCATCACCAGTTTGCCATCTGGCCCAATTCATAATGAAGGCCTGGCCCTACAAGAGACTACTCCAAGCCCAGGATGCACACCCACCCTTGAAAGCATTGAGAGCGTCTCCCGAGGGAAGTAGCGACCACAGATAACTCTAGCCCAGGAAGCAGTTGATTTAGAAATAAGGCGCCATAATTGCTTTGCTAACAAGGCAATATTAGAGTAAAAAAGACTCTTGAAGCCAAGCCCACCCACACTTTTAGAAGCACAAACCGTTGGCCAATTTTGCCAACAAATCTTACGCTCGTTCTCCTTTTGGCCCCAACAAAATCGAGCCAGAAGGCCATCAATGTCAAGGCAGAAAGTAGCCAGAAATAAAACAATTCTTGGGGTGAGTAGGGATAGCCATGGCAACTACCTTTATTAAGATTTCACACCCCACCATACATAAAGAAGCAATTTCCAACTTTGAATTTTCTGAGAAATTCGATCTTTCATAAAAGATAGAGTTTCTCTTTTAGAACTACCCCATATCATGGGAAAACCAAGGTATTTACTTGATCCGGAGGTCTGTGGTATATTGAAAATAATGCAAGCTTCTGTGATGATATTTTAGGGAAAGTTGGCTAAGAACAAAATAGAAGACTTATGCAGATTGATAGTTTGGCCAAATGCCACACATAAATATTCAATAACTTTAGGAGGGCCATACAATTGTCCTTACCAACCTTAATAAATAAAAGCGAGTCATTAGCAAAGAACAGATGGGAAATCACTGGGCATGATGGAGCCAGAAGAATACCAGATAGAACATCCACCTCACAATAGTCACTAATAAAAGAAGAGAGGACCTTCGTTATGAAAAGGAACAGGAATGGAGATAGCGTGTCTCCCTGGGGAAGGTCCCTGGAAGGGATAAATTTTTCCCCACTCTTACCGTTGAAAGTGATAGGAAATGAGACAATTTTGACACACATCATAACCATCGAGACCCATATTGTGAGAAAAATCCAACCAGATGAGAACAGCTTTGAGAAAATCCCACTCAACATGATCATAAGCCTTATTTATATCAATATTAAGACCAACTCAAAGTTGTGTTTTGATTTTTTATGCTTCAAGTAATGAAAAACTTCATGTGCAATGAAAATATTATCTTGGATCTAATGCCCTGGAACAAAAACACTTTGATGGTGGGAAATGAAACCCGGGAGATGAGTCTTCAATCTACTAGCCATCAGTTTCAAAAATATCTTGTATACAAAGTTGCATAAACTGATAGGACGGAAGTGGGAGATAGACTCAGGCACCTCAATTTTTGGAATGAGAATGATGTTTATATGGTTCATATCAGGATGAAGGTACATAAGGGAGGAGAACTTCGATATGGCCCTAGAAATAATTTTGTTAACAATCTCCGAACAAGAGTGGTAGAAATTCCCATGAAAACCATCAGGCTCCGCAACTTTTAAACCCCCCACTTGGAGCACTGCGCACTTGATGTCCTCCAGAGCAAAGAGTTTTAGGAGATCCTCATTAATCTGTTCAGATTTCAAACCCGACAAAGCAACCCAAAAATCTCTTGGTTGAGAAGCCGAAAAAAGAGACCTGAAATAGTCATCAATGTTGCTTCGAATTAGACCCTTATCTTCCAACCAGACGTCATTCTCAATTTTCAACTTTAGAATACGATTTCTTTGTCTCCTAAGAATTGTAGATTGATGGGAAAAGGCCATATTTTTGTTTCCCTTCGGAAGCCAATAAAGTTCCTCATTTCTCTAAACCTCAGCTAGCCTTTGAGAATTAGACAAGTGCACCGCACGCTTAGTAGTATAATTACGTTGAGATTCATGTTCTTTGATGATTTTAAGCAGATTGTTGATTATCTTTCTTTTGTTAGAGAATTTCTTATTGCAAGATGACAACATATTAGAACAGTGAATTAAATTTTTAGACAAAGCATACCCATATGACTTATTTGTATCATTATTCCAAGCTTCTCGACAACTTTAAGAAACTTAGGATCCCTTAGCCAAAAAGCTTCAAATGAAAAAGGCTTAGGGCCAAGAATAACTAGAGGAGAAGAGTGAATAATTAAGGGGTGATGGTCAGAGTTGATCAACGAACCATGAGAGATCACCGTATGAGGCTAGTATTTCATCCAACATAAGTTAGCAACAGCTCTGTCCAGACATTCCTCAATTTTTCTCCAATTCTCCCAATCACGTTCTCAGGTATAGATTGGGTTGTAGTACCCAAGGTCAATGACAGCTTTTTGGTGCATAAAGTCCTTTAAGAATCTGGTACGGTTATGATCCCAATCTCTTCCTCCTTTATTTTCATGCGGCCATAAGAGCTCATTAAAGTCACCAACACACAACCACGAGATGCCGAGGTCATAGAGGGAAGAGGCAACATTCCCCTAAAAGGAGCCTTTTTGGTGATAGTAGGGAAGGACCATAAAACCAAGAGATATGTATGGAAGAGGACCCGGAATACTCCTGGACATTGGTGTCAATAACAAACTTATTTGCAGATAAAATTTGGATAGAAGTACCATATTTCCACCACAGACACAACCCACCAGACCTGCCAACTGCAGGAACAGAAAAGGGATTGCAAAGACCCAGGGAACAGCTAACCTTATAAACTACATCAGTCTTACATTTAGTTCATATAAAAAAAAACAATCGAGGGCTTATTTAATCTTGCTCACGAAAAGCATCCATTGTTAAGTCTTGCCTAATCCCTTAACAGTTCCAAGCAAAGTAGATCACTTATCCCCCGTGGTTGCATCATGCTAGTCACCAGTGCCTTGGAGAATTATGGGGTTCTCCACACCCTTGATAGTACCACTATCGACCTTATCCAGTGAGTGGGGAGAGGCGGTGCTATCCATGTCATTTGAATCTTTAACAGAGATGATCAGTTTGGTTGTCGCCATGTGGGAAAGACCTGCTTTGCTGTGATAGGAATAGGACAGGCCACAAGTGCAAGTATAGGTTGCCACGGTTAAACCCTTGGAAAGTTTTGTTTCAGGCAAAGACCAAAATATCGATAATATCGGCGAATCGTTTTTTTTGAAATAACGATATTTTCACACTTATCCCTTAATTATCGTCCATATATCGCGATATTATCGATATTATCGATAATATCGTGATATGGGGTTATGCTTTATCGTTTGTGTTAAACCCCACCCCCATATTTTCATTCTATTTCTATTTTCCCCTAGAACATATTTGTTTTCTATCAATTTAGTCCCTTATTCTATTTTAATCCTAACCCTTGATCTAGAAAGGCTATTGATCTTAAACTGCCATGTGGCAGCTCTCAGATCCCTCTTTCCTTTCATCTCTGCCCGAAACTCATCTCAGAATCTCAGTGCTCTCTTTCTTTCGGTTTCTTCTCTCTCTTTCTCACACTCTCTAAGCTCCGAGAGCTTCTCTCTAGCTTTCACCTCACTTCCCTTACAAATCAAACCCAAAAACCATATATTTGGGATCCTTGAGACTTAACGAACTCAACGATACCCTTGCATGCGCCATCAGAGCACCGTGGGTTTTTCTGCCATTGAAGCTGAGAGCTTCAAAACTCTAAAACTCGAACCCAGGTGAGAATGGTGTTCCTTCTTCAAATTTCTGGGTAAGTTCTTATGTATATTTGTGAAGTTTTAGAACCCTTTATTCAAGCCCTAACCATTGCCATCCTTTGTACATGCATGTCCGGTTCCGACGACGAACTCCGATGAGTTCGTGAGTGTGTCTGTGCGCAGGTTTGTATGTTTGTCCGTGTGTGTGTAGGTGTGTAAGTATTTGTGATGGTGTATGGTGCAGGTGTGTGTGTGTGTGTGTGAACTGGGTGTGTGTGTTGTGCGGTGCAGGTGTGTGTGTGTGTGTACCGTGTGCATCTGTGTGTGCAGTGCATGCATATGCAGACTATGCATGTGTGTGTGTTTATATATGTATATATACATATACATGCATGTGTGTGTGCAGCGCATGCTTATGCATACTGTGCGTGTGTGTGTGTGTGTGTGTGTGTATATATATGTGCATGTGTGGGTGCAGCGCATGCTAATGCATGCTGTGTGTGTGTGTGTGTTTATATATGTATATGTATATATATATGCAGGTGTGTGTGTGCATGCGTGGGAGTGTGTGTGTGTGTGTGCTGGTGTGTAAGTATACGTATGTGTGTGAATGTATGGTGTGTGTGCTGTGTGTGTATAAGTATGGGTTTAGGCTTAAGCCCAAAACTCCCTCTTGTTCCTAACCTACCCAAACCCAAAACCCATTTCCATTTCCTAAAATTCTATCTTTTGGGTAGTTTATTAAATTGTACATTTTCGTGCTTAGGTGAAGTTGCTAGTGGAGACTTCCTTAATCATTTTTCGCACAATTCTGCTGCTTCGGAGTATCTGTGAGTGGACCACCTTCGAAAATTGCATGTTTTATTGATAGAATTGCATAATTTAATAGCATGCATTGCAGATTGATTAATTTGAGGAATATTTTACAAGAAGCATGATGATTTGATTATACGTGATTATATATATATGTTTTCAATTATTTTCATTATATCGTATTTTCTATAGAACCCTCATTCTGGTAGACTATCTGATCGATGACGATAGGATGCTAAGAATGTGTTGCAAATGACTTTCGAACACCTCTTCGTAGTATAGAGGATCGATGAATTTATGCTACGAAGTTGTATTTTAGAGATGAATTATGTTTTGTGCGTACCTAGTGAACACTATGCCGCCTGGGGCGAGGATCTGGTGTTGGCATTGAGGCCGGGAGAAATAATCCCTAGCGAAAGGCTGAGGGACACAGGGATAGCATTGGGCCGGGAGGGAGATATCTCTGGCTACGGGCACAGAGACTGAGGTGCAGGCATTGGGCCGGGAGTATTGTTATTCAGTGCACTCACTAGCAGCACAACTTGTGTTATGCTTCCTGATACGATTTCTGATCTGATTTCTAATATGATTTTCTGAGATTGATTTGCAGATGGATATATGAATTGTTTTTATGGCATGCTAGAGTTTTCTGAAAAGCTTATCACTTATTATTCTAGTAGTTTTCATAATTAAACTGTGGGGGTTAGTATGTTCATAACTGTTTTCGTACTACGTATGTATATAAACTTGGTCCACTCACCCTTGTTTTGCGCCCCCATTCAGGTCTTAGAAACGAGGCATAGAATCCCGGCATCAAGGCATTTCCGCAGCAGCATCTTCGAGTCCTCTCGGGGTAGGACCTACTCCTTGTTCATTCAATCTTATCTTAATTCTTATTAGTGACTAGGTTTAGCTGTATGCTTTGAACACGTTCCTAAATTGTTAATTCATTGTTTTTAAATTCATAACCCGTATTTATTCCTTATTACTAGCTTTTGTATCAATAAATGGCTTTCGTCACCTCAGATGTCGGCCAGCACGTGCCTATCCTGATATTCAAGGAATATCGGGGTCGGGGCGTGTCAGTTTGGGCTTCTGGTCCTTTTTATAATCCCTCTACCAGCTTCTTCTTTATCACTTGGGCGATGTGGGACAACAACAACAACTCTAATCTCACAATTGTATTGTATTCTCCCATTCAACAGCCACCGGCTTTATCCAACAAAATTGCGTTTTTATTATGGGTAATGATCTTTTGGACTTATACGAGTTGCAATTTAGTTTTTCAATTACCCACCAAAGAATTTAAGGCTACTTCGATTTATACATTTTAGGTTGGGGAATGAGTTTAACGATAAGTACTAATTTTCTCACATTGCACCATTAGAAAAATATCATATTGATATGCATCTTTTGGTTATTTGCTAATTTGACTGTTCGCCAGAATAATGATATGATAGGCATTCGATTTATTTGTGGGCTAACGAGGAAAACCAAACTAGCACATATGAACAAAAACTCGTCATCATAGAGCTTCGGCTTCTATTCAAATTAGTAACATGAAAGGAAAACCAATCATACAATTTAGTCTAAATGGTGGAAGTGACGTTTCTACGTCAGTCTTATATTTACTACTTCATCAATTTAATTAAAAACCTATAATTACCTAAGTAGAACCGTTCATCTCATTGTGGCATCTTCGATTACCAAAACATAATCATGTACTATGTCTATATGATTTTGTATTAACACGTTGGATAAAAATATCACTCAAAATTTTGATCTGGCTTTCAAAATTGACCAAACAGTTTTCTTTTTTCTCGAAACTAGATGATGTAAAATGTGATTAACCAAATTATTATTATTTAAAAAAAATAAAGAAAAATTAGTATCTAATCCCTAGTTTCTAATGTTCATTGACTAAGATCTTATCAGTTTTTATATTTTGATCAAAGTCCCTAGCATTAATGAATTACATGTAAGTTACATAACTTTCATAACAAAAATTAGTAATTGATTTAGAGTTTTAATACTCACATCCTTATTAAACTCCTAATTAATTTTCAATTCAAATATTTCAAATATATAAAAAATAAAATAAGAATAAGTTTGTACCCATTAATTTTTATAAAAAAATTGATATGTACCCGTTATAAGAATAAGTCACTCATGTATCTTACCATGCAATGTATAAAGTAGGCCTGGCAAACGGGTCGTGTCTGTCGTGTTCATGTCGTTTTCGTGTAACACCTGTTATCTTAACGGGTCATGTCGTGTCACATCCGTTATCTTAACGGGTCCTTAATAGGTCGGGTCACTTTACCCAACAAGTAAAGTGACCCGACTCGTTATGACCCGTTAAGAAAAATATTTTTTTTCTTAAATTTGCACATACCACACATTGTCACATAAATATTACTTCAAAACATTAAAATACATTTGTCGTTTAAGTACTACATCTACGCTAAAAAATAAGTGCCTAATAAAAAAATAATACATAAACTACTAATCTATTACAAATATTAAATGTGCAAGGATATGCAAAATGAAAAAGTTTTGTTTTCAAGGTAGTGAAGTCTTTCTCAAAAGTTTAAACCTCAATTTACAAAATCCTCGATTTACATCGATCATCATGAAATTGTATTGGAACTTTGGCTTGATCTTAGCCGATCCAATGGTCATCAATATTTTAAATTTAATTTAATATATATAATTATTATAGTTTTTAGGGGTATAAAATTGTTAAATTAATATATATATATATAATTATTATAGTTTATTCATACTTTTATTAAGTATAACATAAGATTTTGTGATATCCACTAGTGTTAATATTTTAAATTGAAGATTGAATTCATTCTTTGTATTCATAGGGTCAAGGAGTGTAGCTGTAAAAAATCATCAAAATCGGAGTTAAAATAACCGTTAAATCATGATTTTTCGTTTTATAACCATCAAAAAGTTTTGGTCGGTTACTTGATCTATGAATGTTTGTTTTTTACGATTTTTTGCTGATACGATCTCGAAGCATATACAAACAAGATTGACGGTTGGATCGTTGAAATTAGTTTTGTATAATTCGTATCCCATCAAGTTCAATGGTGTATATATATATATATATTTATTAAGTAGATTTAAATATATTTATTTTGTATGTATAATTGATCGATACACGGAGTAGTACATACGTGTCATTATAAAAATAGTGGGATATGTCATATGTGTGATAAAAAGTTAATAACTAAAAAAAAAAAAATTCTCACCACTTTTATTTATTTTCATTTTTCCCTCTCTTTTTTGTTTCCTTTCCAGCTTTTCTTATAATTTTCATTTTTCCCTCCCTTCTTTTTCTTCAAAGGGCAGCAACCTACCCATCTTTCCCTCTCTTTTTTTGTTTCCTTTTCAGCTTTTCTTATAATTTTCATTTTTCCTCCCTTTTTCTTCAAAGGGTGCGGCAAGAATGGAATGGAATTATGGAATCAATGGATGCATATTAATTAATAATTATTATAGTTTTTATAAAATTTAATATATATATATATATAATTATAGTTAATATTTTGAGGGTATAATTATTATAGTATATATAATTATTATAATTATTATAGTTAATATATATTTATATATTTATTTATTATAGTTTTTAGGGGTATAAAATTGTTAAATTAATATATATATATATATATATAATTATTATAGTATTTTTTTTGGGGTTATAAAATTATAAAATTAATATTCTGCTTATCGTGTATCGTGTTACCCACGTGTATACTCGAATCAACCCGTTATCTTAACATGTGCTTATCGGGTTACTCGATAACGACCCGATTCTTTATTGTGTCGACCCAAACACCTGTTAATTTCGTGTCGTGTCGTGTCGGGTTATCGGGTCGTGTCAAGAATTGCCAGGCCTAGTATAAAGTGTAAAATATTATACTAATTCATTATATATAAATGATTATGGTGTGTTTAAACTTCTTTCATTAATTACTACATATTTTCTACACTCACAATGTTTGCCGGTTCGCTATATAATCAATTTAAATCAGTTAAATCCATCATGCAATGCATTTCCTTCCAATTTTTTGTGATAAACTAATAGATAATTGACTAAATAAACATCCTACAAAGTTTCAATAAAAATTTCCAAGTTTTTCTTACAATTTTCGTGGTTTTTATTCAATTTCTATCGATATCGATAATATCCCGATATTTCCATCGAAATTTCCGTATTTTTTTACTACCAATATTTCCGATATCATCGATATTTTATACCTTGGTTTCAGGGAGGGAGATAGTTGATTATCTAGAAGTAGAGATTTATAATTTTTCTTCCCCACATCAATTTCATAATTGGGAACTTTCCGCTTCTGGGCACTCCAAATAGGTTGCAATTATTGGATCATGTTGATGATTCAAATGTTATGTCCAACTGTGAAGGTTTTTCATTTTTAGCTAATATTCATGATATTGAGGAACCTAAACATTTTAAGGCAACTTCTTTCCAACGGCAAATGGCAATGCAAGTGGAATTTGACTCTTTTAAAGCTCAGGGAACTTGGATTTTGGTTCCATCACCATCTGATAGGGCTATCATTGGCAGTAAGTGGGTTTACAAAGTGAAAAAGAACCCCGATGGCACTATATCCAGATATAAAGCAAGACTTGTAGCCCAAGGTTTCAGTTAAGAACATGGATTGGATTTCTCAGAAACCTTCAGTCCAGTAATGAAACATACTACTGTGAGATACTTGCTTTGGCATCACAATATGGTTGGTGTTTTAAACAATTGGATGTGAAAAATGCATACTCACATGGTGATCTTGAAGAAGAGGTATATATGAAGTAGCCACAAGGTTTCTTAGATTCTAAGCATCCAGATTATGTTTGCAGACTTGTGAAATCATTGTATAGACTGAAACAAGCACATAGAGCTTGGAATTCGAAGTTTACAAGTTTTTTACCAGCTCTTGGGTTCACAATTTCATTGTCCGACACAAGTTTATATGTTAAGGTTGAAGATAGATATGTTATCCTTCTTTATTGTATGTTGATGACATCATACTTATTCCAATCCAACTAAAGTGCAATAAGTTATTTCAAGCCTGGTATAAGTATTTGATTTGATCTCAATGACATGGGGAAACTCACATATTTTTTGGGGTTACAAATTCAGTACTCAGATGATGGTTCATTGTTCATTAATCAGTCTAAATATACTAATGAGTTACTAAAGAAAGATGGAATGAAGATCTGTAAGCCAACCTCTACACCATCAAAACCACACACTCAATTGCATGTGACTGAAGAAACACCATTTTCAAACCCTACTCATTACAGAAGCATTGTGGGTGCTCTTCAATACCTTACCTTTACAAGACCTAATATTGCACATTATGTTAATATGGTTTATCAATTTATGATAAGTTCTACAAACTCTCATTTTCATTTGGTAAAGCGAATTTTAAGGTATTTGCAAGGACTGTTACCAGTGGACTGAGATATACAAGATCTTCTGATTTTCATATTTCTACATACTCATATTCTGACTGGGCAGCAGATATCAATACTAGAAGGTCTATTACAGGCTATGTGGCGTACTTAGGGTCAAATCCAGTTTCTTGGCAATCAAAGAAGCAATCTATTGTTTCTAGAAGTTCAACTGATGCTGAATATAAAGCATTAGCACACTGTGCTGCGGATGTCTGCAGTTAGATTCTAACTCTATTGAATGATATTCATCAAGTTATACCTACGCCTCCTTACTTGCATTGTGATAATCTTTCTACCTTAGCACTTACCTCGAATCCTATTTTTCACTCTCGAATATATCATTTAGACATTGTCTATCAATTTGTTAGAGAAAAAGTTCAAAAAGGTGATCTAGTGGTTTAA